CTCCACATCGACTGGAAAGAAGGAAACGTGTATGATCAAGACAGGAAGAACAAAAATAGCAGAGAACAAATCATCAAGCTTCAGAGGAGTCTTGCTCCTCGCAGACTTAAAAACAGAATTTCCACGCGGATTCTCTATACTCCTCTATACGCAGCAACATCGTCCTCCACATTCTTTGGATGCAAAAACAATGGTGCTAGGTGATGCGCGGCCAGTCTTTCTGGCTCGCATTCTCTCTGCCTTGCAGCATACCTGGAGGGAGTGCAAGAAAGAGGAATGCAGCAATTGTATTTTAGAGATGGTAATCAGCTGTACAATTGCTAAATGTGTTTACTTTGTATTGTTTAAAGGCGGGCCATGCCTTCGTCTTGTATTAAAGAACATCAAGGGTGGTTTTAAACATATTTTCTCCTTGCATTACTATTTTTTTTAGTAGCATTTGCGATAATTTTAAGGTGCTCATTGACTGGCACTCTCCAAATTTTTTTCGAACGATTGGAAAAAAGTAGTGCCACTGCAAGTTGGCAATTTGTTCCTTCAGCTTCTCTTTTTTCATAACTTTGTTCTGCAACCTACAAACAAAAGTTTGTATCGTGACAAAGAATGGAAAACAGTAATCATAAGCTTTAAAAAAAATAGAAAGAGAATAGTAATGTGATCTCCCATGTTAAGTCATACCAATGCAGAGATGTAGTGGTAGTTTTTGAATGCTTCTATTTCATCCCAGTCTATTACTTATTCGGGTGTTGAGTTCTCATCCCTTCGTTCTCACTTTAGTACTCACATCACACATTGCCCAAAAACATGAGTCTCTCCTAAGCAAACTTGTTATAATTTATAACAAAGTTTATAAATTATAAATGCAATGGTAAAGTATCCCATAATTTTTAAGCATATTTGAGTTGCTATAAAAATTGGCCTATTAAAAAAGTCTTTTATAAACATTCTAGAGATCAAATCATATGCTAGCTACAGTAAAAATTAAATTGATTGATAATTGCATAATAAGCTTCATATGTTACATATATTGATAGCTATCTTCAGTTCCTACTATGCTTTAAAAGAATCATGTTGGAACATGTACGTGCAAACTATACATATAACCATTGTTGAAAAACCATTTTCACCTAGTTTCATTTATTCGAACCAGTTACAAGAAAAACCATATAGAAAACAATATTCACAGGCATGTGAGCATTCATGCTAGTCAATCGCTAGGAGAATGACATCATCAACCCCCCAAGGACTCAGTTGGATCTAGCTTATAATGCAACAGCTCTCATCCACACAGAGCTTTCAACAAACCTCTTCCTTCTCCTCCTCACTACTTCTAGCCTTTCTCTTCCTCCCCTTCAGCATGTTGCCAAGTTTGCATCTCACCAGCTGGAAGCTGGATTCTCTCTAGCTACTTCCATCACTGACAGTCTCATGCCTCATATGAGTGGTGAGAGAAGTTTTCCCAAATAAGGTGATAGGAACTTTTTTTCTTTCTTCCAATTTTGCAGGAGTTGAGACAAACCAACTATGTAACTACTATGGTAAATAACCTCTTGCGAGTGAGATTTGTAGAGTGTAAGTTTTGTAAATGATGCACAGCTGAAAATAATTATAAGAAAAGCTACCATTTTTTGATACCCCTGGCAGCAGTCAGGTGGATTCCTTTTGTGTTGGTTAATCTTGTCCTGGTTGTTCGGTCTTGCCTCTGCTGCTGCCACTGCCACTGGGAGAGGAACAGGGACGAAGTATTCATCTACAATGCCACTGCAACTTCTGATCATTATTGAGAGTGCAACAAGGTTATGAACTACACCTCTAAGAGAGAGGTCTCCAAGGAAAGGACTACACACAAAAGCGAGAAGCAAGGAATTTGCAATGGATTAATGAGAAAGGACTACACAGAAAAGCGAGAAGCAAGGCCTCTATATGTCTCCCAAAGGGACTACTACACAGAGAAGAGAGAAGCAAAGCCGCAACATATATCTCAACAGAAAGGACTGCACAGAGTCGAGAGAAGCAAGGCCGCAACATATCTTTGTCGAAAGATGGCGAAGAAGAAACATTGTGCAAGTTTAGATTAGTGTGTGAATTAGAGTGTGCAGTGTGGATTTGTTTGTAAAAGCTCATTGTTACAATTATTTTGTCATGAAAATTATCCTTCCTTATTCACGAACAGCGCAAACTCTAGAAAAAGGTAATCACGTAACGCTTCAAAACTCGCTAAAGTTGAAGCGGCACCCAAGCTGCGTTTGAGGCTCGATGTAGTGTCCGGAAAGAACCGAGTGGATTGCGGCCTTGTTGAACGCCTCGGTGGTATGGATGCCGTCCCAGCTCACGTAGTGCTTCGGATTAGAACAGGCACGAGCGGTCAAGTTCCTGCCGCGGATCACTCGCTGCGTTCCACAGGGAACTCGCGGATCGTAGTTGTATGGCTTTCCAGTCCCACAACAAGCTTCTAGTCCGTTCTGAAAGCCTGGAAGCAAAGCAGGAACGCTTCGTAACTAGAGAAGAGAAATAAGCAAGACTGGAAGGACATACCTCTGGATTCAGGATCGTATACGACGCCAGTCACCATGGCGGCCATGTCGACGTAGATGAGCCTCCGGACGGAGTCCCGAAAGCTGGCTCGCAGCACGTCTAAGGTGACCCTGAGACGCTCGTTGTGAAGAACTGTGATCCGGTTGTAGTCGATGAGGCAGCCCATGGTGTCGTAGTCATTGGGATCCGTGCTGGCAAAGCTGGTCAGGAACTCGGGCGAGCATCCCAGAGGTGGAAGATTGAAGACCATGAAGTTGGCCGCTCTGAAAGTCGTCGAGAGGAACTATACGAGGAAAATTGGTGAAGTTAAACACGCCAGTCTAGAGGAAAACTTACCAAAACAGTGGCTGTGATGTTCTCCACGACGTAGGGGATTACAGTGCGCTCCACTTCACGAACCGTTCTGTTATCGCGGAAGAATGCGTATCTGTAGTCGTTCTGCCCGGTAGAAATCATGTAGAGACCCTCCTGGAACGACTGCTCGTTAGGCAAAGTCTCGGTGGTCTTAGCTGGAAAAAATCGGGAGTGAAAAAGCAAGTAGAAACAAAAAGGAAGAGCCAAGTTACCAAGAGATTGATTCCCAAGAGCATCTCTCACGTCCGACTCGAGCTTCTGGAGCCACTGGATCTGAATCATGAGATGATACGGGTTCTGCTGCAAACCAATCGAGCTCGCAGTGCTCCCGGCAACGGCAAAGCTGATGCCGTGCTGCAAATTCGAAACAACCCCCACAGCGTAGGACGAAAGAAGGGGCATTCCCAGCGCCTGAGCTGCGGATCGCCCAAAAGAAGATGAGATTCGAGCAAGAATGGGCAAGGAGAGCGATATTACCGACGAAATCCAGCATCAAGCGCCCATCCGAGAGCCGCCGCGCGGGCTTCTTGAAGTAGGACATCCCGTAGGGCGCCTCGTCCTCCAGCTTCTCAAGATCCGCCGGATACAGCGCCTGGAGGTTCCCGACATCGCCCCAATCGTCGCCAAAGCCGAAGATCGCTGGGAAGCACCTGTGGCCGCCGTTGTCGTCGCGTTGCCCCTGCGCCAAAATGCCGCACAACACGAGCAAGACAAGCGATGGAAACCTCATCGCCGCGGATGATCTTGGATATTTCAGCCGATCCAAGGCGCGTCGCTGCGCAGCTCCTCTATCCCGCCATTTTTCCCGAAGAGAATGTTTAGGGTTCTACCCCATAAGCTTAACACACATTCCGTCAAGTCTGCAGCATATTCTGCCAGCACGCCACAATAGTATATTCTGTTGGAAGATTTTTCAAAATTAGCATATTCCGCCAGTGAGTGAAATGAATGGCTCCATTGCTTTCTTCTAGTCGAGCGCTAGTTCTTCCTTCTCGAAATCAGGTTTTGGGGACACGCGCTAGGGCAAGCGATCGCGATGGCGATCCCGTGGCGAACAAGGTCAGTAGCAGCCGGGGATGGTTCTACGACAAATTCGTGTCGCAAAACACGATGGAGGCCAAGCTCAACAAGCTCAAGGCCGATGTCGCCGCCCGGAATGGCTACGTTGGATCCCTGTTTGACGACGCATTCAAGTACACTGCTTGGATTGGTGAGTGCTATGAAATTTCGAGCGATTGATTCTCTTGTTCTATGTCTTTCTTTTGTAGAAATTCATCGAAAGCTAACAGAGAGAAATCTGGTGAGCCTCGATTGCGATGAAGCATACAAGATGATGAAGAGCGGTGACGCTGTTCTTATTGACGTTCGTGAGTGTCAACCCTTCGAAAAGGTTCTTTTTGGATCATTCCTCGGCACGAGATCGATTTTTTCTTCTTTGTCAGGTGCATGGTGAGGGAACAAAGTCCGCTCCCTTGTTCCGACAAATTCAAGGAAACGATCTCAAAGCAAATGCCAGGTTTCCTACTCTCTTTTTTTTCTCAAAGAGTTTTTGCTTATGCTTTGGTCTGGTTGAGCAGGAGACTGGGATTTGCCTTGCTTACGAACTTCTCTGGCACAGGTTAAATTTCCCCCTCGCTTCTAACTAGAGAATACTGAAAGAGCTTGCATGGCAGAGCGCAACCCAGAATTCGTGGAGAAAGCTCTCGACGCTGTTAACGGCGACAAGAACAAGAAAGTAATCGTTCTGTGCAGCATTGGAGGAACTCTCCTCACGTACGTCGAGAGAACGGGGCCTAAAGCAAAGAAGTTCAAGGATCCCGAGCGCTTCTTTGGACGTCAGTCGAGGTACTCTCATCGATCTCGCGTCAAAAACTCTCACAAAGAAACTCTCCCTACAGATCATTGAAAGCGGCATATGAACTCCAGGAAGCAGGATTCACAAACGTTTTCCACCTCCAGGGTGGATTTAACGAATGGATCCATCGCGATCTTCCCACCTCTGGAACCGCAATAGACTAAAACTTACCAGGTATCCGCGCAAGAGCAAACACCATTCTCAAAACCATGCAGCCTCTGCGTGTCACGTACCGTGATCTTCCTTTTCACCACGCTGGAGATCATCTTCGCAGAAGTATGGCAATCACCGCACATCCTCAAGTTATTCACGAGCGAGATCTCGCGGCTCTTCTCGCACAGCGCGTACGCGATCGCAAGCTTCTCGCTGTGAACACCGCCGCCACACTCGCTCCATCCCAAGTTCTCGTGTTTATACCCATGATCTCTCTCCATCAGCTTCGTCAACCTCGCGACTTCCTTGCGAACTTTCTTGATGCTCGGATGCGCGGTGTCTCCCACTCGAAACTTGTGCGTGATGCCATCGATCTGGATCAGGCTCTCGGCCTCGAGCTTGTGGAGACCTTTGTCTCTCACCATCTTCTTCAATCCAGCAATGTCTTTCTCTCTCCCGGTTTGGCTGTAGATCTCCGCGAGGATCTTGTACGGTGAAACGTTCTCTGGATCCAAGACAAACAATCTGTCCGCGCAAAGCTTGCCATTCTCCGCGTCCAAGTGCCTCCGGCAGCAAGCGAGTAGAGTCATCCACACTTGAGCATCAGCTTCGAAAGGCATGCTATCAATGAGCTCTCTTGCTTCTTCCATCTTCTTCGCGGCTCCGAAAGCTCCAACCATGCAGTCGTAGTGATCTAGGCCGGGAGAGACTCCATAGTCCGGAAGCATGTTTGCAAAGAAGCTCCGGGAATCGTCCAGCGAGCTCGCACGCCCACACGCAGCGGTCGCGTAGACGAGGAGAATCACTTCGTTTGGAGCAAAGCCCTCGACGAGCATGCAACGAAAGAGATGAATCGCGTCCTCGTTCATGCTGCTCAAGGAGAACGCCCGCATGAGCGACGACCACGAGTAGAGATCTCTCTCGATAATCTCGTCGAATAGTCGCTTGGATGCCTCCAAGTTCCCGGACGATCCATGCGCCAGGATCATGATGTTCTTCGTCGCGGCGTCAACTTTGTCTCCAACTTGCTCGAACAGCGCATTTGCCTCGTGCATGTATCCTCTGTGTGCATACGCGGCGAGCATGGCGTTCGCCGCGATCGCATCCGGATCCGGCATTTGGTCGTAAACTTCCCTCGCTCGATCGAGATTCCCGGCCTTTGCATGGGCATCCAGCAGCATCGTCCAGTGCACAATAGTCTTTGCAAACGGCATCTTCTGCAGGATCTCCTCCGAATCATGGGTTGTCCCTGCATGGCAGTGTGCTTGCAGCAAACACGTCCACGAAGCGCCATCTTTCTTTGGGATCTCAGCAAACAAGGTTTTTGCTTCCTCCAGATGCCCGTTCTGGGCATATACAGCAAGCATCGCATTCCAAGTCACCTGGTTTTTCTCCTTCACTTTTTCAAACAGGTTTCTTGCTTCTCCCACATTATGTATCTTTCCATAGGCTGCTATCATCAAATTCCACGACACAACGCTCTTTTCGGGCATGCTATCGAACATTTTTCTGGCTTGCAGCATATCCCCTGCCTGGGCATATCCTTCTATCATCGTGTTCCACGTAGCGGCGTTTACATTCTCGTCATCAAGGCTCGCAAAGATCTCCCTGGCCTTGTCAAACCGCCCATTTGTTATGTAGGCATTGAGCAGCGTAGTCCAGGAGAACACATCCTTGACGGGCATCCTCTCGTAGAAAAACTCCTCCACTTTGCGCAAATTCCCCTTCTCGGCCGCGAGCGCGGCGAGCATGATGTTCCACGACACGGCATTCTTCTCCTTCTCCGGGATCTTCTCGAAAATCTTCCACGCCTCTGGATCGCATGCATTCTTCTGCGTGACAACCTTGAGGATGATGTTCCAGGAGAAGATGTTGGGCGCCTGGATCTTGTCAAAGATCTCCAGCGCCGTCTCCGCGCTCCCGCAAGCTCCAAACATGTCCATGAGAAGATTGGCGATGTATCGGTCGTTGCGATAGGCGCTGGCTTTCACCCGCGCGTGGATCCGCTTGGCTTCCTCGAGGTCTCTCCTCTCTTGACAAGCCAGGATCTGCTTCTTCAGCGCGATCGATCCATCCTGTTCTTGGGCGATGAGAACTTCTCGAGCACCACCGTGCTTGCTATCCAGAAACTCTCTCGCGTGTCTCCCCCAGTGTGTGTGCATGTTGTTCGCCATCCATTCCAGGTACACGTCCGGGAGAGAGCCCAGCGCTTGGCCTTTGTACTTCCCGAAAGTGAGAACCATGGATCCGACTTTGCGAGAGCTCTGCGGAGGAGAAACGTTGCTGCCACCTTCTTGAGTGCTCGAGCTTTCTCCTTCTTTTCTTTCTGATAGAACTTGCCTTGCCAAGCCATTCCAGTGGTTGTCTAGCTCCTGTGTCATCCATTGCAGATAGTTCGCTGGAAGAGAACCGAGAGGCTGGCCTTTGTATCTTCCAAATGTTAACACCGCTTTGGTAGCCATTCTCGCTGCAAAAACCTAAACCACCAGGCCTTTTATGTCTCTCTGGAACGCACAGATGAGAAGCGAAAGATTGTAGATAAAAATATCACCTTTTGTACAAACGAGGCATCAGTGTGGCCAACTCTTTGAGCCTCTCTGGCCGCGTCTCCAAGTCCCCACATTTGCAATATCATTGGAATCGTGCCAAGTGAAAACTAGCTGTAAGTTCGAAGAAAAAAGAAAAACAAACAGTGAGCTCATAGCACAGAACAAAGAGTGTGAATTTAACGTACATCTCCGATCGCAACTTTGTCTCCTTCGTGAATTCCTCTACTCTTTAGCTCGGCATTTATGCCGCTGCATTCCAAGACCCGCTCGAATCGTTGCAAGGACTCGAAATACCTGCGAGTCGTGTAAGAACTGTAATGCTCGAAAGAATGGGAATAAAAAAGATGTAAGCTTACTCCCAGTTAGTCATTTGCGTGAAGCGCTCCACACCAGCACCGTAAATGTGCCACAGGTCTGATTCTGGGTCGACGTCCACCTTAAATTCTCCAATGGGACTACTTCGCTCCTTTTTCACCATCGAAGCTACGTCGTTCGAGATCGACACGGGTTCTTCTGCAAGGATAGTAGAGAAAGAGTTTCACAGTCGAGTTAAAAGTAGTGTTTCATACTTACCAACTGGGGCTGTCTGTAGAAGCTTATACGCATGACGCACAACTTGCAATGTGCCCTCCATGGTTGCGGCGCTCATGGAACGAACCTCCACTCCACGAGACTCCATAGCTTTCCGGAAACTTTCCCAGCGTTCAGCAGCCTCTGGGACATCCATCTTGTTGAAAGCAACAATGGATGGTTTGGAGCAAAGGCGAGGATCAAACAGTTCCAGCTCCAGTCGCACTGCATCGTACTCGAATTCTGGCTGTGGACTCGTACCGTCTATAACATGAATCTGGTTTTCCAAAGAAACTTTTAGCACGCAGGAAAGTTTAAAAGAAAAAGCTTACCAGGACTCGACAGCGCTCAGTGTGGCGTAAAAACTCGTGACCGAGGCCGTATCCAGCGTGAGCACCTTCGAGAAGCCCGGGCAAGTCCGCTATAACCATCGTTGCATCGAAGTCCAGCGACACCACTCCAAGGTTGGGTAGTAGTGTCGTGAATGGATATGCAGCAATGGCGGGACGAGCAGCACTGATAGCACTTAGTAGCGTGCTCTTTCCAGCGTTTGGAACACCTATAATTCCCACGTCTGCCACAAGTTTAAGCTCCAGATCGACCCACCTGGAAAGATCACAACTCAAAAGATCAGAGAAAGTCGAGAGAAACAAATCAAGACAGGAAGAACACAAAAAAAAAAAAAACTGAAGAACAAACCATCACGCTTGAAGGGAGGGGATTGAGAACCAACATTTCGGCTCCTTGCTCGCCTCGCTCCGCCAGCTGAGGAGTCTTGTTCTTCGCCGACTTGAACGCAGCATTTCCACGGCCACCACGGCCTCCCGGAAGCAGCAATTCCCTGTGTCCAGCTTTTGTCATCTCCAGGAGTAGCGTCTCTGAATTCTTCGCGTCTCTCACCACTGTTCCAGGCGGGACTTTCACGACGCAGTCGTCTCCAAAAGCTCCATCCTGGGACTTGCCAAGGCCGTGGCTGCCGCGTCCGGCACGAAAATGCACGCTCTTCCGGAAGCACAGCAGCGAGTTGAGCGATGGATCAACCTCGATGTATATGTTTCCACCTCGTCCGCCATTACCACCCGATGGACCACCGTGAGGGATGTATTTTTCTCTTCGAAAGGCCACCTCGCCATTGCCACCATCCCCAGCTTTCACGTAAATCTTTGCTCGATCGAAGCACCTCATCACAGCAGGCACGCCTTTCTTGTTTCCTGCTCGATCTTCCTTGTCACTCGTAGAAACATCTGTGGAAGAGTCCTCCTCTTCGTTCCAGACTTCCATCTTATCTCCCTTCCAAACTTCCACGCGGTCGTCATCGTCGTCCTCTTCGATCCCAAGCTTCGAGCGATTCTCAAAAATGGAACGCTCTCCATGCATCTTCCTGAGCTCCGAGAGCTCCTTCTCAGCTTCAGCCAGTAGCTTGCGCTCCTCCTCGGCGGTCATTGGGCTTCCCAAGTCGCCTTCCCAAACTTCGACTCTCTCGTCTTCCTTCTCTTCTTTCTCTTCGTCCTCGTCCAATGGTCGAACTTTCCCTTTGAGAAACTCTTCCAGCGAGGATTTCTTGGAAGAAGATTTCTCACGCTGCAAAGTTTCCTTTGCTCCCAGATTGGATGACAAATCTTTCTTCTTCTCTAGCACAGCCACGCTGTATCCGGCAGCATACTCCTCTAGCAGAGGCAACGCAGCCGTCGTATATGCAGCGACATCGTCCTCCACATTCTTCTTCCTGGATTTGTTCTTGGATGCCAAAACAATGGCGCTAGACCCTGCCCGGCCAATCTTTCTGGCCTGCATTCTCCTGTAATCTCTGCCCTGCAGCATACCTGGAGGGCGTCGCTGGGATTGGAAGAAGCAGGAGCTTCCACATCCTGCGCAATGCAGCATTGTATTTTAGGGTTCTTCACTACCCAAATGTTTTCTTTGGAAAAAATTTAAATTTCCAAGCTAATTTAAAATAAAAGAAATATATGTATAAAACAGATTTAAAGTTGGAGTTTAAAGTCACCAAAACATGATGACCAGCCACTCCTATCATGTTCTCCTCTTCATAAGAGAGTCTGGGAAAAGGATCCAAAGATTTAATGGAAAGTAAGGAGTATATTATATCAATGCAAATAAATTCATATGTTATTGCATGAGTTCATCACTATTGTTCAATTGCCCTGGATCCCATGTTGGATCCCACATTGTGTCTGGAAGATGTCATTGCACAGAGTGCCACCCTAAAGCCAGAATTTAAGCATATTTTACATTGGCAAATCTGACCTAGGATGTCATTACATGAGCATGGATCACATACGTGCTATAGATCCATGGATACACCCTAGTACCTAGCCCAGCTAATAACACCCTAAAAAACAACATGAAATGATGGGAAAAGAAGAAGAAAAAAGAGTGATGATCCAATGTAAACCATAAGTTGTTTTGGAGATTTAATTTTGGCAAAAAGAGTAAAACATTAAAACCCTAAATATACTTTTACAACCAAAAACTTTACAGTGCGTCCAAACTTTATAAAGAGTATAATGATACCCCAAATAAGATATAGAAACATGGTTTAAAATGTAAATAATAGTTGCATCAGCTTTTGATTAAAATGAATATGGAATAAATGTTGGCAAAAGTATTAAATATATTATGTTAAGTATGGTATAATTTTTGTGCTCTGAAATGCCATTTTGTTGAGGTATAGAATAAATTGTATATTGGTTAACAAAACCAGTAGATTGACAATAATTTCAAAAATCTTGAAAAATATATTTACCTTCATTGTGAAAAGGAAGAACTTTATGAGATAAGCCAGTTTGTTTTTTCATAAAACCATGGTACTTTTGAAATCAAAGAAAAACTTCACTTTTATATCAAAAACAATAAATTCAATAAAAAGAATATAGTATCGAGATCTATTGAGTGTGACAGAAAATAGGCTAATAATATCTGAATGAACAAATTCCAATGAAACTGTGCTTGTATGTGAAAAATGAAGAAAAAGAAGATAATGAAGTTTGCCAAGAGCACAAGTCTCACAATTATGATGAGGATGAATACCAAAAGAAAAACTTTCAACCACTTTAGAAATATGTTTAATAGCTTCTAAATGGAAATGACTAAGCCTAACATGTTATAAATCACAAGTACTGGAAGAAAACTCCTTTAGAGTAACATATAAAAAATCAAGGATATAAATATGATTTTAGCATGGAAAAGATGACCATGCAAAATAGAATATCTATTAGAATTAAACATTAGTAAAATAATAGTGACAAAATATTAGTGTGAAGTGATAAAATATGAAAAACACCTTTGAGAAACCAAAAGAGAATTTGCAAATCCCTTCAATAAGATGCTTAGAATTATCACTAAGAAAAAAAATCATAACTAAAGTAACCTAATAATCATGAAATTCAGAGTGCTTAACCATATCACTATACTCAATAATAATAGTAAAAGAAGAACAAAAAGTTAGCAAAGCACCACATAATTGTGTTGAAAAGTCCTCTATTGAAAACAAAATAGAAGGGGATGAATCATTGATGGTAGCATATATTTATTGTTGTTGTCTATTAGGACTAGTAGCTATATAAGCTTGAGGAAGTTGTTATGGACAAGGAATAACACAAGAAACTAAATGAGTATAATTTGGATGCTGACAATAAAATTAGGAAGTACATCCAGAATAATGATAAAACTCACAAGATTGATAATAAAACTGTGCTATATGACCAGATTAACCACAATTATAACAACCACTAATGGAATGACTATAATAACAAAATGAATCTTATGGAAAATAAAACCACTTATTTGAAACATGAGCACTAATAAATAGTGACCGAGAGTAAAGTGCTAGAGTAGAAGTGTCAGTGGAAGCATATTAAAAAAAAGGACAATTCTAGTCATGAACTACAACCTCAAAAGTACATTAATCATTCATTATAAAACTTGTAACAATGGTAGAATATTCTGAAGGAAGAGTGTCCAAAAACTAAAGTAAGCAATTCTTTTGGGTAAAAATCATGTTCATTTGCTCAAAAACATTCCAATATCCCAGCTAAATGGTTTTACCTTGGTGGCAACATTTAGATGGTACCCTCAATGGAGCTAAATTAGAAAAAGGCTTTGGTGGTGAAGGAAGTGTTTCCTCTCTGTTAATCAATAGAAAATATAATGCACATATGTTCTCATATGCCACATAAGGTTAATTTTGCCACACAAGTAAAGTATCTAAAAGAAAATTGAGAAATATTGTTAATTAGTAATGTTTTACATTTGATTTTCAAGCGAAAAATGAGCTAAAAGACTTTGCTCTATTCATGTAGAGGGGATTGAGAAGTTGTCTAGGAATCTCAATTTCCATATCAACTATAAAAATTGTGAAAGATTTTTTGTTACCATTGCCAAGTCTTTTTATTCTTCTTTGTGATAATTTGGTAAATTTATTTTACTGTAAACTGTATAAATAAACCCGCTTGATTATGAGGCTGACAGTACAAGCAAGCCATTCACTTTCTTGGTGCTATCTCTCTCGTTTAAGTTCTACACACTCCATTGAAAAGATGGGAGTAGTTGAGAGGCATGACCAATTGCTCTGGCTACTACCAATGGATAATCCTATGCAAATGTGGGGCTTGGCTGAGGCATACAGTTTGTTGGCTCCCCTATCTCACTAACAAAAAAAATGACATGGAAAATTTGTTAATCACTCCCC